TGCAAGAGGTGCTGTCTTGGGAGACAACCAGCAGCGAGGCGAGACTTTTTTTTTACTCTTGATAGCAGAGGGTGCATGGGCACTTCAGGGGGGAGGCAAGGTGGGGGCCACAAACTATCATCCGGAGGGCCGCAAATGGCCCCTGCGCCGCATGTTTGAGACCCCTGCCCTAGACCTTCACATGCCCCCCAGTCCGTGAAAAAATTCAGAGGTGGTGTTGGTCATTCTTTGTTCCTGGAAGTGTCTAGGAGCAAGAGTTTTGCTGTAAAATAGTGTGCTCCTCTACCCTTCAGAATGAGCCTGCAGTATCATTCTGCAAAGCAGAAGCACAGTTTCCCTCATAATTTTGGAACATGGCTTTTCATGAGTCCTGGGAATGGGTCATTTGTCTCTAGATCCTTCAAAGTTGAGCATCTCTAGTCTAGATGACGTTTTAAAAACATTGGATTGGGTAGTAGTTTTATTTGTATCCCAGTTTCTGGAATGCTGCCTGCTCTTGTCGGAGCTTTGAGTCCCTTGTGCTGTAATTTCCCTGTTCTCTAGATGCTGAATGCAAGCGCCCAAGCCGAAGGAAGTGGTGCAGGAGCTCCAAATCTGAAGGGCTTGGAGGAAGTTGGCCAGGAACTGGAGACTCCGCAGTGGCCTGTGATAAGAATGGCCAGATGGGCGAGGTATGTTGCAATGCCATCCTGTGTAAATAAAGCTTCCTCCTGCATGATGGGTGAAAATTAGTGAACTCACAGGTTCAGTTATAGATTGGCAAATACTGTTCAATGGGATATTGGAAATTGTTAAGACATTGAGGTCAACAGCACTTGAGCTTGCTCTTCCAAGTCATACAAATTCTGGTCAACAATATGCTCAACTGGATGGGACTGTTTATTGCAGGATGGACAATCTGTACTTTCCATTTGGCCCTAGCCAGCATAATTGAGTTTGGGAGGAGCAGTGTAATGTCATTGGAAGATAGGTTGCCCACCCAGATATTATAGGTGGTCATGACAAAAGTTTAACTTTACAGTATAGTGAACAGTTTTGGTTGTACTGTTAGGGGATTCTGGGGATTTTAGTCCAGAAAAGTAGCTTCCATAACTTCTAGTATTGTGAATATTGGTTTGTTGTTGCCTCCCACCCACCCACCCAGCACACCATACCCAAGGAAGACGAATTTTAGATCTTGTCCTTGTTAATGCTACCTTTTCATTTTTCCTCAAGGTTCCCGAAGCTCCTTCTTCTGACACAGTATCTGCCTTGATTGGAGTCTTGGATTATCTGGAATGGACTTCCCATTTGCCCCAGGAAGTAGAGAGCCCCATGGGGACCGAGGCAGTTTAGTAAGTGGGCTCCTCTTACAGAGCATAGATCTGTAATGTGCTACTGTGGATGCCATATTGGAATCTGGGTTAAAGACTCTGATTTTCTGCTGCTTAGAAAACAAAGTCCTCTACAGAAGTAGAGAAATGCTATGAAGAACAAAGAGCCCTGCTAACCAAAACCCTTCCTAATCCACTGTGGCCAATCAGATGCCTCTGGGGTGCCCATAAGCTGAACATGAGATCAATAGCATCTTTCCACTTTTGTGTTCTCCAGCAGCTGCTGGTACTCAAGAGGCACATTTCTCTCTGGCGCTGGAGATGATGTATAGGCAACATGACTAATAGCCACTGATAGCCTAATCTTCCATGAATTAAAGCCATCCAGTGGATATGATACAATAATAGCGGTGCTTTTAGAAGCATATGCTGCTTCACAAATGAAATTCATAAATACGTCAAATGCAGAAATGTCTGTGTTATTTTTAGTAGCTTGAGAATGATTGAATCACAACTGCCAGACTAAAAAGGAACAGTTGCAGACATGGTGGCGTTGCAGCAGAAAAAGTCTCTTCCTTAGTTCCCAGTGCGAGTCCTAATAGCACTGGGAAGCAGTGTTCAAGATCTGCCAGAATGACTCCTGCTTCTAATAGTGTCATGGCCTCAAGCCTTCATGTCTCTGTGGTGAAAAAGTCATTTGGGGCAAAAGGGCAGGAACCTGCTGAAAGCCACTCCTGGCAGCCCCTGATGCCACAGTAGGGCACACAGATGGGCAATGCTGTTCTTTCAGACCCCAAAGATTCATTGGGCACTTGGTATTACACTTAGCAGGTCTTTTAGGGGTAGGTGTGGGCAGTAGAGTGCCCACATCTCACTTGCCTACCCTGGTGTTCAGCTTCAGAGGCAGCTCAAAGATGGGGAATGACTATTTGGCATGACAAGTAGGAGTTATAGTCCCAAAGAGTAACGGTTCTGAGCTGTGAGGCAGCTGTACTTGTGTTGCATTCCCAGAGTGGTAAAGTTTTGGTTGATGACTGCCAGATCACTGCCTGGGAAAGAAAGCACAAAACTAAATGGTCAATTTTAGTTGTAGTCAAGTGTGTGTTGGTCGAGTAGCTTGTAGATCTGGGCAGCATGGCTTTTTGTAGCATCGACTTTGCTCAGAAATTTGTGCAGATACACTGAATCTTGTTTTACGGCTTATCTATAGTCTGGGTAAGGGACGTGGTGGCGCTTCAGGTTAACCGCAGAAGCCTCTGTGCTGCAATGTCAGAAGACCAAGCAGTCGTAAGATCGAATCCACGTGACGGAGTGAGCCCCCGTTGCTTGTCCCTGCTCCTGCCGACCTAGCAGTTTGAAAGCATGTAAAAATGCGAGTAGATAAATAGGTACCACCACAGTGGGAAGGTAACGGTATTCCGTGTCTAGTCGCGCTGGCCACGTGACCACAGAAACTGTCTTCGGACAAAAACGCTGGCTCTATGGCTTGGAAACGGAGATGAGCACTGCACCCTAGAGTCGGACACAACTGGACTAAATGTCAAGGGGAACCTTTACCTATAGTCTGGGGAACTGTTGGTCCTCCAGATGGCGCTACCCAGTTTTTCCTGTGGTCCCCTACCAGTGGCTGTACTGGAAACCTGGGGAAACAGGGTGCCAGCAATATCTGGAAGACCACAGATTCATTGAATCTGTTGGTTAAAGCAGGTGGGCCTTCCAGATGTTGTGGGACTGCAATTGTCACACTCAGCATGGCCAGCAATTGTGTGGGTTAACAGAGTTTGTACTCCAACAACATCTGAATCCCTCTCTCTCAGTTAAAGCTCTAAGAAGTACAATGTTGGCTTGGGAACACAGGATCTGTGATAGGTCAGTGAGATCTCTATTCTGATTCTTTTAATGGGCATGTGTTTTTCTCTCTGCCTTTCAACAGTGAAAATGAAGAGATGGAAGAAGTGGAGCTGGTAGCCGAAGTACGGCTGGGGGATGTTGGTGCCCTGTCAGGGATCTTTCGGAGGAACCTGTCCTGGAGGATACAGAAGACAGGTATATGTGTTTGTATGTGCACGAGAGAATGAGAGAGATGGAGAAAAGGATGCAGGCTTATTATCTTCTAGAGGAGAGAATGGCCTCTGGATTTTGAGGTAGGAGGTATTGACAGGGCCCAGATCTCAGTGTCCCAGTTTTTTAAAAAAATCTCTTTGTCTTGCCTCCTTGAGAAACAGTGGTTCTTTATTAAGGCAGGGGGACAAAGACTGCCAGACTTGACTGCAAAAAAGGGGAAAAAATTGATGGCCCTCCCTCAGCATAGCTGTGTTTGCATCAGTAGATTGCATTGCAGCTCTTTTTTTCCACCCAGGCCACCTCCATCTCCTGGGGAAAGAAGATTCTAGGTATGGCCTCCCTGGTCTGCCCAAGGTCACATGGCTGCAGAATTTCTCATACTACTGTCTTGGGGTCTTTTGTTCTAGGCAGTGATCAAAATCTTTAAAGGGATGCCTATAAAGCCTGTGATTGGTTAGTTAACCTGGAAGGCAGGATTCACTAACTCTGGATGGAGATCTGGGCTAAAACTGTCAATTTGCTGATGACAGTAGCCCTGTAACTAGGCATGTCTGTGGGCTGATAGGGATGCCAGGTATGGTTTGGGATGTATGGGTGAAAGACAAATTGAGGATTATCTGGATCTTGACATCTGCAAAGTTTGAATTAACCTTGGCTGACTTAAGTTAAAAGGAAAACCATTTGCAAATTGAGATATAGGAGCTTCCCTCCCTTTAGAGCATTTTCTTCCAACCCGATGCCCTTTAGATGTCTTAGTGTTCTACTATACCCATTATTCCCAACCACTGGTCCTACTGGCCCTGTTAGCTGAGAATGCTGGAAGCCATACTCCCAGTATATCTGGAGAGTATGGTTTTGGGAAAGGTTTCTATAAAGCAGAAATGGGAAGCTGTGAAGTGTCCAGAGATTGCTGGATGATTCATTAAATGCAACTCAAGATTTCCACGTTTTCAAAACCAAAAGTATCTAGATGGCCACTTCTAGTTTTAGAGGTAAAGAAAAGGTTTATTTTGGCCTGCAAAAATGTTCAAGGGAAGTGAAAAAGTTGGTTGCTGTAGGTTTTTCGGGTTGTTTGGCCATGTTCTGGGGGTTTTTCTTCATAATGTTTCGTCTCTGTGGCCAGCATCTGGCAAAACATTAGGAAGAAAAACCTCCAGAACACGGCCAAACAACCTGAAAAACCTACACCCAACGGGTGCCAGCCACGAAAGCCTTCAAGAATACACTGAAGTGAAAAAGGCCTTGAAGTGGTCAGTTACACCCACTAGAGTCATTTGGGGTTGCAACTCTCTGTTTGAGAACCAAATTGTTCATTTGTCTTTGCCAATGGGGGGGTCGTGTTTTAATGGCAGGGTGGTTTGATAGACTGCATGTGGCCCACACAATTCCTATCCCTGTTTTAAAGCACAGGGGATCAAGGTACAGATTTTGACGCACTTCTTTTTTCTTTTGCCCTCTCTGTAGCCTGCCTTCAATCATCTACACCCTGCTGGAGAGGAAGCAGCCCGTGCCCTGTTGGCCAGCTTTCCCTTTCAGAGCAGCCCTACCCTCTGGACCCAAACGGAACTCTGTCTGTAATAAACAAGGCCACTTGGACTTCTGTTTTAGGTGGAAGCAGGGTTTTTCAGTCTCCTAAAGCAGATAGGACTTCTCCTTCACCTTGCTTGGGCATGACTCTGGGCACTGGCATGGGGGTATCCAGTGGGGGGCAGCAGCGCCCACAGAACACCACTGGCCGGGAGTCTGAAACTCAGCAGCGATCCCAGCCACCACCTGCCAACTCTTTGGATAAGGCTGATTCCAGCACCTCTTCTTCATCATCTTGTTCTTCATCAAGTTCCTCCATATCTTCTCACCAGGGCCTGCCTGGTGAAGGTGGTGGTGGTGGGTCTTCGAACCCTTGCCCCCCAATGCGCTCCCCGGACTTAGATATTTATGATCCCTTCCACCCTACTGATGAGGATAACTTGAATGGCGATTTTGGCTTCAGTGACTCTCCCCAGAAAGAGGCCGAGGGCGGGGAGCATGACCAGAAATATGATCCCTTTGATCCCACAGGCTCCAACCCCAGTTCCTCTGTTAGTACTCCTTCACCTGAGGAGGAGGATGATGAGGACGATGACGAGGATGATGACCATGACCAGCATCCTCCAGACATGTCCCACAGCATTAGCCGCATCTCAGAAACATTGGCTGGAATCTACGATGAGAACAGCTTGAGCCAAGATTTCCCCAGCTCGGACAAAGGACAAGAAGATTCAGAACCAGAAGCAGAGGCTGACAGGGATTATGAATCCAAGGGCACCTGCCCTGCTGAGCCTCCTGAGGGCAAAGAACTTCCAGGTGCAGATTCCACCCTGCCCGAGGAGCTCCCTCCAGATCAAGCTGAATCCCAAGCTCTTGAGCCACGCCGCCGGGTATTTGTGGTAGACCTGGCCCCCAAAGGCCGCTTGGATGCAGAAGCCAAGCCCCAGCTGGAGGGGAAGGTGTCTCTGGAGGTGGTCACCATTGGAAATGCCAAACTAAGGAGTGGGGAGAAGGTGTCCAAGGGAGGAGGGCATCATCGGGCTGGGCGCCGATCATCTATGGACTGGGATGGGAGTGGAGGTGGTGACTCAGAAATTGAAGAAGGTGAGATTGTTCAGCCAGAGGATGAGAGGTATAGTCCTATTCGACTGTTCCGGAGCAGATGCCGGCCTGCAGAACAGCGTACCCTACGGGTGGTGGAGGGAGATGACTTCCTGTCATTACATGCAGACTCGGACGATGAAGGCGCCTTGCAAATTGACTTTAGTGAAAGCCAGCCTGACCCACGTTGGAAGGGTGTGGACTTGAGGCGGAAGATCCTCACCCAGCGCCGAGAACGCTACCGAGCCCCATCACCCTTGCCTCCGCCACCGCCACCGCCACCTGCCCCCAAACGTCCTGCCTCAAAATCTCACTCTGGTTCTAGCTCAGGCTCATGTAAGAAATCCAAGCGGGAGCGCAAACGATCCCGAGAGCGCAAGGCCTCAAAAAACAAGGAGTCTTATGTCTCCTCCTGGAACCCCAAGAAGAAATCAAAATCACGCTCAAAATCCAAGGAACGTCGGCATTCGCGCCACAGAGCCTCAAGGTCCCGCTCACACCACCGAGCCTCTCGTTCCTGGTCCCCCTCGATCAGCACCAGCTTGTCTGCTGTTGGCTCCTCGCATGCTTCTGCGGAGCGGCGCAAGAGCCGAAGGTCTAAATCCAAGGAGAAGCGTCGTAGCCGTCATTCCCGGTCACACAGCAGTAGTCGGGCACATCGCAGTCGGCACAAAGAGAAACATCGGGGAGAGGGCAGCAGAAAGAAAAAGAAGCGTTCTCGGTCTCGTTCCCGTGAGAAGCATTCCTCCCATCGATTATCGAAGGACAAGGAGCGGGAGGTTCACCTCTTGGAGGAGCCCAAGTCTGAGAAGGTGTTGATGGAGCGTCGGAGAGATGCACGGACTGTTGTGCCACCTTCAATCCAGGATCTCAATGACAATGATCTCTTCACCATCAAGAGGACAATCACAGTCAACCAGCAGGAGAAAATGGAGGGACTGTTGGAGACTCCAGAGAGAGCTAAGCGGGAGGTTCTTTATGATTCTGAAGGGATGAGCTTTGATGCTTGCTTCTCAGACCGTGAGCCTGCTGAGGAATCCAAATCTGGTGGAGCACGGCTGACAGCCAAGGAGGATGTAGTCCCATCCCGCAAGGACAAACGGCCTGAAGAGGACACCAAGCAGAAGATACCCAAGGAGAAAGAACGCAAGAGAGCCTACCTTGAGGAGCGCCCTGGTGCCCGGGATAAGTACAAAAAGAAGCCAAAGGAAGGGCCTCCTTGTTCTGAACAACAGGAATTGCCTAAGGCTGAGAAAAAGGCCCGACCTGACAGGGATAAGCCTGGGAAAAAGATTAAAGCTGGAAGCCACAAGGAAAGTGGTAAGTTGGGTTCTGGCCGGAAAGTGAAGCTTCAGTCCAAGGTGGCCGTGTTGATCCGTGAAGGGGTAAGCAGCACCACATCAGTCAAAGAAGTGGGCTCCATTGGTGTGAAGTTCAGCCGTGACAAGGAGAGCCGCTCACCTTTCCTGAAGTCAGAAGAGAAGGTGTTGATGGTCGGGGCTTCAGCAGCAGGTCAAGGCGAGATGGCTGATGTCAAGGAGCCAGGCTTCAAACCCAAGAAGGTCAAAGGGCTGAAGGCTAAGATGGGTGTGAAGAAATTGAAGGGCATCAAGCCAAAGGGAGCCTCCTCAGAACCCAAGAAGAAGAAGAAGCTCAAAGTGAAAACTGGACTGAAGAAATCCAAAGCTGACAGCTGCAGTCAAGGTGCAAGCAGCCCTCTGCGGGTCAAAGAGGAGCCATCCTGGTCAGGTTCGGAGAAATCAGAAGGCACAGCCAAGCCGCCAAGCCCTCAGCTGCTGGCTCCAGATCAGGAGCTGACTCCTGATTCTCAGACAGTGGACAGTAGCTGTAAGACTCCGGATGTCTCCTTCCTTCCAGAAGATCCTCCAGCTGAGCAGCCGAGGGTGCCAGCTGATGAGCCCGAAGCAGACAGCATGTCTGAGACCAAAGAGGAGCAGCCACAACAGCAACAGCCACCCCATCCACCCCGCAGCACTCCCCAGCCGCCTGCCCCCATGTCTTGGAATCTGCAGGGTGGGGTAGACTGCACCAGTGGTGTATTGGCATGTAGGTATTCTATGGGGGCTGGTGTGGGAGGAGGGCAGGCCATTCATGGAACTGTAGTCATTGATGGCCATGGTAGGTTCTGACATGAACTGCCAGTATAAGCTCTGTAGGCTCCAATCTCAAGTTCCAAGAAGAATTCTGTTTTTTTACTTTAGTAGAATTCTTATGAATCCATCTAGAGCCCGTCTCCAAAGCTGGGCTCACTGTGTCCATGATGCAGTAAGCCCCTTAAGTTAAAGTCATTTAAATGTTCACTGTCCAATCACAGGATCCCAATTCTGACCATAAGTCTTGGCAGCCTAGCTTGTTCTAGGTTTCCTTTTTTAAAAGCAAGACAGGTTTGAAGTAATAATTAATAATAGGTATATCCCACATTTCCTTTACAGAATTGAAGGTGACATATGTGTTGCTTTACTCAGTTCTTATCCTCTTGAATAATTAGTGAGGTAGAGTAGTAGAAGACATAGTGACAAATCCAAGGTCAGTGAGTGAATGTCATAGACAAGTGGGAATTTGAACCTGGGTCTCCCAAGTCCTAATCCACTATCCTTACCATGTCACACTTAATGTGGTGTCTCTTAAAATCTGTGGATGAAATATTGGCAGTTGCTTTAGACCTCCAACCTATAGAATTGGGAAGATAGATTGGAGCAGGATGATGGTTAATGGTTCCCATTTCTTCTGCCACAGGTTCTGTGACCATAGGCTTCAAATGTTTTAAACTTTAGCAGCAAGAGAATAATGTGAAGAAAGGACATACTTGCAGATGGGCACCTTTTGGCCTAAATGTACTATAGGATCCCCATATTCTCTTGGGATTTGTTGTGTGGCCTCTTGTGGGTATTGAAAACTGTGGATAACAGTAGACATTGTAGGTATAGCATGATAAAAGGAAAAAAAAACAAGAAAAATATTTTTCGCATGCATTGTCAGAATTGGACACTAGAGGGCACCATGGACTTCACTTAACAAATATTCATAGTACAGTATGGTCCCTTGCTCCATATGGTGGCCTGTTATGGTAATACATATGAAAATAGGTTTTTCTGGATCTTTTAATATTTTTAATATTTTCAGACTGTGGATACGTGAAACTGTGGATACTGATTCCTTGGATATGGGGGTCTTACTGTATATGGAATGATGATTACTTTAAGCAGACTCAAAGGAAAAGCCAAGATACAGTACAGAGGCTCAAAAGCCACACAATGTCAGTTTTCATATATGTACTAAGGTGTTTTTTGTTTTTTTGTTTTTTTGCTGTTGTTGGGTTCCAAAGTCTATGGTTTTGAAAGGTTTTTTTTTCTCCTTCAAGTGACACAAAGGCAGATAGATATGCAGTTTGTTAGATTCGAGGTCAGAACATGCTCAAGATGGTTTGCTGCCTAAGGCAAAGAAGATTCCATCTTATCTCCCAATTCACAGTTCAAAACCTAACTGGGCTGCCAGCTGTATTTTCTTTCAATACCAAGGGTGTGATAGCAGAATCCACTGCATCTGAAATCTACAGGCAAGCTGGACAGTTTAGTGGGTGCAGAAATGGCTATATAAGACACACAGTTGCATCCTTTAACAAAAGAGAATAGCTGAAGGGTTCAAGAGGGTTGGCCAGATATTTGCAGCCCCCACCATCAGCCCTGTGGGCTGTTGCCTTACTCTGGCTAATAGTAGGGCTGGCCCCACATCTAGCAGTCAGAAAGAATGGAAACGGGGCATGGATTTCTTCTATCCTTGAGCAGGTACCTGTGTGCATTCTTTCAGATGGGAAATAACTCCCTTATTTTTCTAGTCTTGGCACAAATGAGCCAAAGAAAACAGGATGATCTCCTTGGGGCTTACACCATGTCAGTTTTCAGTTAATCAATTTTTATTTTATTTTGGGTGGGAGTTTGCATCCCCATTCATCTCCTGCACTAAAACCCTTTGGGCCAGCTCTACAATTACTCTAGGTCAGTGTTTAGGTGGTGGGTGGGAGAAAACAGAGCAAGGAATCTTTTGCAGAAACTTTACTGCCTTATGTAGAAACGCAGTACCACTGCCACAGGAATGGGCGGAGGAATTCATTTGGAAGATCTTGGGACTCTTGTAATGTCGCTATGAAAGTACCCCAAGAGATGTCAGGAGCCATACTCCAGCTGAGATGTATCCTGTAAGATAAGTAGCTTTTCTTTCATGGTGCCACTGCAAAACAAGATGGGCAGGCGAGGGCCTGCTTATCTGTGATGTTCTACTGGATCTCCAAACAAGTTTAAGTTTCTCTTAAAAGCAAGTGGGTGGGTAAGAGCAGTGGGACCTGAGCATGTTGCTGGACACGGGGTACTTGTTCTTTTCCCTGTTACAAGTCTCCTTCCCTTGGTGCTGTTTTCTGTCATGGCAAGAGGCAGGGGATATAATTATAGAGTTGAAAAAAGAGTGGTCTTGAAGGCCATCTGCCTCAGCCCCTTGCTCAGTGCATGAAGTCCAAGACAGAGCATCCTGGGTTCACTTGTCATGTTAGAGGGCCAAGTCCAGGCTGGCAGAAGGGCCTGGCAATCTGTGGATTGATCTCCCTCTCCTGCCACTTGAAAACCATGTGTATTTCTTACCTAGTGACTGCCCTCCTCTTCAAGATGGAAGAGGCCAATCTTGCAAGCCGTGCAAAAGCCCAAGAGCTTATTCAAGCAACCAATCAGGTACGAAAGGAGTTTGACACTGTTAAGTTGAATGCAGAATCTGAATGACGGATGAGTATCTTTGCATTTCTTTCACCTGATGGTGGCAGTCTTGATATTCTAGGTTTCAGTCCTGAAGCTTGCGAAAGTGGGGTTTTGACTCCTCAACTACCAGGATCCCACAGCCAACATGGTTGTTGTAGTCCAGTGTTCTAATTTGAAATGATACAAAGCAAGCTTCTAGTCCTTTTCCAAGCTTTTTTTTTTTTTTTTGCACCAGTATCTGAAATTCAGTGAAGACATCTTCAGATTTCTAGGACATTTGTAAAATATGTGCAAAATTTAGTTCTTAATACAGAATTTGGGGGCTCTTTAGACATTGCTGTGAATTGGTACAAAACTCCTGTGGGAGTGTTTAATGTTTTTGAAGCTAGGCAACAGCTTAACACTGTCCTAGCCAACCGGGTGCACTCTAGCTGGTTTACATTAAAGCTCTCACAAACCCCAGCCGAAGTTCAGAGTTTGTGACCCAGGAAGTTTGGAGGACGGCAAATTGCCTAGGGAGAGGGGTTGCATTGGGTTTTTCGGTGGTTGTGTGAGAAGTGCACTTTCGTCTACTGCAGTGCTAAGGAATGGTGACTTTCTCTCCTAGGCGTCTGTTTTCTTCACTTCCCAAAGTGGTTACAGAAGGCCCTCATGTCCTTCTGGTGCTATTTAGTACTTTGTCACTTGAGAGTGAGGGTCCCAAATATCTTGGGGGGGTGGACTAGGAGTTTTTGGTTTTGTTTTGAAAACACAAGATAGGATAAATATCATTTATTGGATGAATTATCCGCTCCCCCACCCCGACAAGCCTGCAGGCATGATGGGGTCCCTGGCCAAACAGTGTCTGGAGTTGCTCCTAGTACAGCTGCAAACTTTGGCTGGGGACTAATGTTTTGTACCCTTCAGCATCTCCAATTCAGGAAGCCATAGAGGAAGCGTAAGACTGACATCTTGGAGGAGCATTATTTCAGGTTACATACCCAAGATGATTATGTTTCATCTGCCCTATACCCTTCCCCATCAGAATGGGGGGGGCAAAGCATTGGGCATCCTCACAGTTGTATCCCATTGCCTTTCAAAGATGAACAATAGGCATTTTTGCTTCCTGCTGTCATAGGGCAAGGGGTTGGCCAAGGGAGGGACTTGCAGAGGAGGAAACTCTGTGGGACATAACAGCCCCACAAGCCAAAGGCTCCCCATCTTTAGCATAATGCATGCCAAATGATTAGATGTGTATAAATAAGCTATTTTGACAAACTCACAGTTTAAAACTTCAGGTTACAGCTGTGGATCCAATTACTCAGACGAAAGTCCAGCTGAACAAAATGGGACTGGCTTTCCAAAGAAACACAAGTGGGTTTAAGGCTGTAAATTCTTTCCATTTACAGATGTGAGTTTGCTTCATCCTGCTGAAGAGCAGATGTTTTTCTTTGTAATTAAGTGGCATTTTGCAGCCATTCAGCTATCAAGCTCTGTTTAGCAGCCATTTCCTCTTTCCCCCAGAACAATTTGGGTGTTTTCTCTAAAGCTTCTAATTCAAACCATATTGGAAGCTTTTTGTTAGAGTACTTAAATGTTCTGTTGGTGTGTTAATGTCATTGTTAACTATTCCTGTGCTATGTAGAAACCTGTTTACTGCTACCACTTTCTGTGGTTTATCTCTAGTCCCCAGTTTGTGCTGAAGGGAGAAACCAGGGCTTTAGGAAATTGAACAATCATTAAAATGAGTGATAGTCTTTATCCAGGGACCCCCACAGAATCTCTACAACCCAATTTGCTGGGAAATGTCCATTTTCTGTCAAGTAAACAATGTGCAGATTCCTGGGTGCCTTGTTCACATGTAAAAATCCCTGAAGTTCTTGATGCTGTCGCAACTCTTACTGAAGTTTCTGTCATGTAAAAGCAAAATCACACTTCCTGGAAATTTCTAGGGGCACATATTTTTTAAAGATGAGACCTACACCTTTTGTGCTTCTTGTTTTCACAAGGCAATCAAGGGGAGGTCAGGAGCTAGAAAAACAATGGTAGTTGTATGTGGCTTATATGTAGCCCACCCTTAATCTAATAAAAATTTGCTCCACCCTTTAGCCAAAAAGTCTCCCTATGCAGAGTGGAAAGCTCAGTAGTATGACAATTCCAGCCCCTGAACCTTGTGATCTCAAAGAGACAATAGGCAAAGAAAGGGGGATTGAGAGGGAGGAATAGAGAAAAAACGCACATTGCCTTTGCCATAGACTGTTTGCGCAGCTTCCAAGCTGTGCAACCATTCAGTCACAATGAAGGGAAATGGAGAATGAAAGGTTACTTTGTCTTGCTCAGGGCTCAGAAACATTTTTTAAGATTATAATTCCCAGAATCCCCCAGTTGGCATGGCCATAATCATGCTAATGGAGTATTTGTGTTATTATCGTTAAGAAAATGGGTTTTGCCATATTATGGTTCTGTTTCTGTAGAGCCAGGTAGACCCATTTAGTTATCAGTTTGCTTCCATTTTGAGGCACATTCTAGTGTTTATATTCTTTGTTGTGCTCCACTGGCTAAGCCAGTGGGCCGTGGATTTTTCTTTCCCCCCCAGACTATCTTAACCCTCTGTGTTGCACTCTCTGACCCTCCAGATCTTGACCCACACAAAGCCCTCAGCCTCCTTGGGCCCCCCTCAGCCTCCAGCACCGCCCACCCAGCCGTCTGCCTCACACCTGGCTGTACCACCTGTCTCCTACTTGCTTCAGGGTTCCCTGCCTCTTGGTGGCTGTGGTTCAACTCCCACTACTCCAACGGGGGTGTTGCCTGCGACGTTGAGCCAGGCCTCAGCAGGCCCTCCTTCAGCTGGCATCTTTGCTTCCTCATCTGGGACCGATCTGGGCAGCACCAGCTCCGAAGGGCGTGGAGACAGTGATAAGGTAAAAAAAAAAAAGCCTTTGGAACGGAGAGAATTTTTGTGATATGTGGGTTAGTGAAGAGACATTTAGCATAAAGTCCCCACTAGTTGTCTTTTTGGACTTCTTCTCCCAGAATCTTCCAGTGAGCATGGCCCAAACTTTGCTTGACTCCTGTGGTCCTCCAGGTACAGCGGACCATATTTCCTAGTAATCAACTGCCATAGTCATATAAATCTAGGGGATATTAAAATTTGACAGGGCTAGGTCCAGTTGTTAGTTCTGCATAGACTCAAACCACTGAAAGAATGTGACTTGTTAAGTCAACACTACTGTAAGCCCCACAGATCTAATGGGTCATCTCAAAATGGAATCAATAAATGGATTTAATTTCCTCCTCACTTTCTGCTATCAGAGTGGCATCATCTGCATATCTCAGGTTGTTGATATTTCTTCCGGAAATCTTAATTCCAGCTTGGGATTCATCCAGTCCTGCCTTTCACGTGATGTATTCTGCATATAAGTTAAATAAGCAGGAAGACAATATACAGCCTTGTTGTACTCCTTTCCCAATTTTGAACCAATCAGTTGTTCCATATCCAGTTCTAACTGTTGCTTCCTGCCCCACATACAGATTTCTCAGGAGATAGATAAGGTGGTCAGGCACTCCCATTTCTTTAAGAACTTGCCATAGTTTGTTGTGGTCCACACAGTCAAAGGCGTTTGCATAGTCAATTAATCAGAAGTAGATGTTTTTCTGTACCTCTCTGGCTTTCTCTATAATCCAGCGTATGGTGGCAATTTGGTCTCTAGTTCCTCGGCCCCTTCGAAACCCAGCTTGTAGTTCTGAGAGTTCTCGGTCCACATACTGCTGAAGCCTACCTTGGAGGATTTTGAGTATAACCTCACTAGCGTGTGAAATGAGTGCAATTGTATGGTAGTTGGAGCGTTCTTTGGGATTGGGAAGTAGACTGATCTTTTCCAGTCCTCTGGCCACTGCTGAGTTTTCCAAACTTGCTGGCATATTGAGTGTAGCACCTTAACAGCGTAATCTTTTAAGGTTTTAGTCAACTGGAATGCCATCACCTCCACTGGCCTTG